TGATTGGCGGACTCCGGTGGGCCCGTTGGTACACAATGGGAAACAATGTCCATCAGCTTCCGCCGGCCACCGATAATCATCGGCGGCCACCGGCGGCCGCCAATGGACTTTCCAGTGGCGGGTCTGTCTCGGTAACCCAGACGTTCGGTGACACTCAGAATCCCCCACAGCCAACCGGACCGCTTGATCCGTGATTGACAGTCGGAGATTCAAAAACAAGTGCAGGAGTGTCACCCGAGATCTCTGCACTTCTTTTTGAATCTCCGACTGTCAATCACGGATCACACCGGAACGGCTGGGTTACCGAGACAGGTGGCGGGTATATTACTCAGAAAATCTGGCATCAATTGTCTGGCGGAAGTGATCGCCAGACAATCGGCCAGACAATCGGCATGATCGCGAGAACTGAGACGGTAGGGTAACACATGCAAACAAAGGGCTCGCGGCAATTTTGTGACGCCACCGAGACGCGTTGGGGAAGGACCCACGACGCGTCATTCGCACCGATAATGACTTCTATACGTTTCCGCAGCCTTTTCTGTATCATAAGAGTGGGTGACTTTCCATAAGCATAGAATATTCCAAAGGAATTTCCGAAGGGTGCCAATGATCTCGGAAGCCTTTATCTACGCTGGGATGTGGGATGTAAGCCCACGATTCTGGCAAACACGACTTCTGTAAATAGTGCTTCAGTAGAAAGAAGCTGATAGTACGGTGAAGTCGCGTCGAGCTCGTATGTTGAATGTTTTCGCTGTCCTCACTGAAGAACCAGATGGGTTGGCGCTAAGAGTGGGCGAGTAGATGGTGATGCCCGATGGAAACGTTGCCCCGGAGACTCCGAGAAACCAAATATGAAGTCTGAGAACGGAGTTACTCCGCGTTATGAGGCATGGGCAGTTTACACGTACAGGTTTACTGGTCAGATATTTCAAGAGGGTTCTCGCATTCATCGGGGGAGTCAAGTCTTGACCTGAGCCGGAGATGGTTAGAGTTAGAGAAGAGACGTTTGCTGTGCGGTGATGGTATCACAGTGGTCAATCGCTTATTTTCTGTTCAAATATTGCAGACTGTTCAAGACTGTTCAATAATTAATGCTTGGTTCTTGAAAAAAGCGGAATACTGTCGACCTGATAGCACAATGGTTAGCGTGTCTGCTTCAATTAGCGAGGCAACACCTTCAATTGCCACTTATACGCTGGTTTTACTTCGTAACTTACAGCGGACGCACAACTAACTATAGGTCATGAATGGGTTACCTGGGTGGGAACATACAGGATATATACCTCCTGAGAAACGCGAATAAACGCTACCGAAGTAAGTGAGAGTGGGATGCGAATAATTATTTAATGGGCGCCTGCCTCGAAAAACTACGCGAGATGAGACGAATAAACTACGAGAGATAGGTAGGGAACACGAGAAGAACAATCAGTAATACACGGGTAGGTGGACTCGAGTCGGCGAGGAGTAGAAGAGGAGGGAGGAGTCGATAATAAAACATACATATGCACGAGCCCAACGCTCATACCCAATCAGATACACAGGACTCGGCTTCTTCTCCATAGCTCTCCCCTTCTCAGCCCTCTCGCCCCCATGGCCAGTTGCTGGGCATCACCATCGCGATCTTGCATCACATATGATATCCCCATTCGGTCCTGACCTGGCCACTCGCTCGTTCTTCCTCCCACTCTTTCTAACGCTCTTGTAGATGGCCGCCGATGGGTATCTATACATACTCGCAGCGCCTACCCCTTGGACCCCCCCAACGGCAGACTCCCAATCACGTTGTACGTCTTCCCCGGCGTGGACGCGCGCGCGAGGGGCGGGCTGGGTGGCGCGCGGGGAGTGGGGTAGTAGAGGTGAGAGGGTGATGAGGGAGGAACGATGGGGGAACGGCCGGACGAGGCGGACATGTGCATGTCAGGGCGGAACCAGAATCGGCGGTGGGTGTGGACACGTTGGCGGTCGGGGTTTGTCGATGTGCACCACATCGAGCGGGCGGCGGGCGGGCAAGGATCGGACGTCGACGTATCGTATCGTGTCGGCGGTGGGTGCGGGAGGAGAACATGCGAGGGTGGAAAGCGAAGAAGAATAAAAAGTAAGGAAGTTTCAAGCCATGAGTACAATCCTTCCCAGCAGGACAGCGCAGGCCACTCACTCCATATCGAAATGCGTCCCGCGCTTTGGGTCCGCGCGCCGCTTCTCGATCGCTTTCTTGACCTGCGGGAGGAAGGAGGTGAGCACGCGGTCAAGTGTGAGATAGATATGACGAATGTCATAGAGGAAGGGTATGAGTGGGCATGAAGAAAGGCGGCCATTGGATGCATACGCCGCGACAGGAAAGTGTGCGGGCGGTGGCGCCAGTCTCGATCTCTCTGTTGAAGGACGACGCAGAGCAGTCACTCTATCGGAGAGCGAGGCTCTCTCAGACCTCGGGACACGCGCTCTTCCATTCGCTCTCTCCACATCCAGACCTCGTGCACGAGGGGCGGTTGTTATTGAACGTCCCCACAGCAGCTCCTCGCGACTCTCATCCATAAGTCTCCCGACTCTCTCCTCCCACGTCCGGACCTTGTGAACGCGAGGCTAGCAGGGCCAGCACTCTCGCTCTCCGGGCGCCGCTCCCCAGAATCTCCTCCATACACTCATCGCTTCCTCACCCTTCCGCTCCCCGCTCCGTATGGGAGTGAAGCGAAAGGCGACTCTCTCCTGCGAGGACGGAACCGCAAAAACAGAAAGAGAGAGAAAAATGTCTCCTTCTCCGCTCTCGCAGTGAGCCCACGTGGCTGCCACGTCTCCTCTCCCCACCGGCACACTCCCTCTCCCCCCACTCCAAGTCTCGAAAGTAGAAAAACGGAAAACACACACCTTCCGCTCCGGCCTGACCACAATAATCGGCACCGGGCTGTGCGTCAAGCAGTACTTGCTCACGCTCCCGATCCCGCCCTTGCCCATCATCGTCATTCCTGTGATATACCGATTAGTATTTTCATTATACGGGCAATAATATGAGTAGGATAGAAAGAGTAGAGGCAAGGAAATAAGTCGCGATAACGAGCGAATGCTAGCGACAGCCGGCACCGTGAGGCCGGAGGCGCACGAGAGGCAGGACAGGCAAGATGAGATACCTGGCCCATCCAGTCTCGATGCGTGAAGGGAAGGGGTGGACTCGTCGCATACGCGTAGAAACGAGCACGACACATTGTCTAGCCGCCAATCACGGCGCACCGCCCGAAGCCATCGACGCGCTTCACGGGCTCGCCGTGAACTGGTGGGGTAATGGAGCCCACCCGGAGCAACCACCGGGCCTCAAAGACCTAGCAAGCGCAAAGAAGGAGCTTGCAGTAGCCCGCACCTCCTGTGAGCGGTGACGACTTCGCAAGATAAAGAGGTCGCAGACGCCACACAGCATTAATCACTGCAGCGCGAATCATGAATCGCTGGGCGTATTATGCCTACAGTGGCTGGTGTTCTCCACCACCTCTGCGACCTCTGGCAAGACCCTCACCACAGACGATGTGAAACGCCCCGAGCGCGATAGATGCCACGAGCGCAACATTCTCCACCGGCTCGTGGACGCAGGAGTGCCGCAGACGACGCCAGCCCTCCATCGGCTCGTCGGCTGCGCCGCAAAGTCCTCCCCATTCACCATCCCCCGCCCGCGCAGAAAACCGAGGTATTGTTTCCGGCGCGGGCACTGGCACGGATGAAAAAGCTGTCCTGCCCTTCGTTGAGGCGCGAAATTAAAATCTTCGCGAATCCCCGCCACTCGAGCTCCATAAATATATAAACCACTTACCCTGCCACGCTTTCTTCCCCCGCGTGCCGACCACTACCGAGTCGGGGCGGTAGAGCGCGATAAGGCGGTCCAGCGTCGCGGTGATACGGCCGGGGATGTATTCGAGGATGAGAGAGAGCTGCGCGGTTTATGGATTCAATGGATAGATAGACCTGAATGAGAAAGCCACACACCTTGCGGTCAGGATCATACTCGACGCTCTTCTCCTGGATCTGCAGCATCAGTTGTTTTGCCTCCTCGCGGACGGAATCGTGGTCTTTCTCTATCAGTTATTCATTGATTGCCATTCAAGTGCACATAAGTTGCACACTCACCAAAAACATCCTCATCCACCCCCCGACACACAATCAACTCATCCCCATCCTGCACCAGCGCCTCCAAACTCCAATCCAGCGCCTCCCTCCCACTCTCATCCGGCCCCGCCGCGCACAAAAACACTCGCGTGCTCCTGCTCCTTGCGTACCCCGCGCTCTTCACCTGCAGCGTGAAGCTGAACATCGACGCCACGGGGTTCTCGAACGTGTCGAACGAGACTTTCGGGGTGTAGCCACCGCTTGGGGATACGACACCTAGTCCATGGACAGAGGTTGAGAGGACTGCAGATGGCAGCGATATCTCTCCTGGGGCTGGCGAAGGTGGGGGAAAAGGGGAAGGAGAAGTGGAGGAAGAAGGCGAGGCGAGAACGGGGGAGATGAGGGAGGTTGGGGAGGATGAGCGGCGGGAAAGCGGCGGGGAGGTAGTCCGCTTCAGCGCTGAGCGCAGACCAATGGATTCGCGGTACTGGGAGTACAGCGGCGGCGTGTGCAGTGGCTCGGAGGACATCGTTGAGGAAGAGGTGTATCAGATTTCCTTTCTCGGCGATGGGCGTTCGCTTGGCGAGGATGCTGTGCACGGTCTGGGCTCCGGGTTCGGCCGTTTGTCTCCGAATCTTCCCGCCTCGCATGCGACATGCTGCACTCTTGGCTACACTACAATCCGGCTCAGATTTCAACCAAGTTCGATTTATTGTCGGTGTTTCTGTTGTCCTGCTGGATTGAAATTAATGGATGGGTATTGGATCTGCAGGTTGAACATCCACATGGTTGAACAATTTGAACTTTAACTTCTACAGCTCTTACTCTGTACTCGTTCATGGCACCTACCGCAGGAATAAAATGAAGTCTTGAATGGATTAAAAAAGAATGTAATGGTTCCTCATGAGTCATGACCCGACCCCGAATCGAACGGGGGTTTTCTGCTTAACTATGATGATTTTGTTCCTACAAGAAGCGGACGCACTAGCCACTGTGCTATCAGGTCAACGTTATTTTACTGTCTGCGAGATTTAAGTGCGTTAGCTCAAGCAGTCTGCAATATTCTAAAAAAATGCCGAGTCGTGATGATCCTATCACACGACGAAAGCCTCATGCTTTCGACTCTCATCATCTCTGGCTCAAGCTCGGCGCCCAGGTCTTTACTTCTTCTTCGATGATGGGAGTCTCGCCTCAACTTCCGCGCCCAGATTTTATTTGGCTGAACCTTCGGAGGGACTGCGGTCAGGTCCACGTTAATCTTTTGAATTTTCGTCAGCAATGCGGACCGAGTTGTTCACCGTTTTGCGTTTCTGCACTTTTCTGCACCACGAGGGCACCACGAGGGCACCACGTGTTGTCAATCTACCTCGACAGGAAATCGTATGATGGTGGGTGGGCCGCTTCCAGAGACAAGACCCGTTGAAAGAAACACTCCTCGCCACTCAGTGTTACTCATGTCTCGGTCCATATAAGAAGTTACAATTTTCGCTGGAATATACTCAACGCTGATCATAGCTAAGCTAATTCAAGTCCCTGTCTCATCTCTCTTTACGCATGTACAGCTTCCAACTTAACTCAAACCCGGAAGCGTTTTATCGCTGGATCGTTCAACTTCAGGCACCGCCAAGTTCTGGCAACGGGGGATGATTTATATTCCGGGCGCTCTCGTTCGATGGGCTCTGCATACGAACCAAACCTTCTGGTGCTTACACTGGCGCCGGTAGGGACCTTGGTCGCATGACCCAATAGCTGTTGCTCTGTACTGTATACATGTATACAAAATTTTCCACAAGTTCTCCTTCTGCGATGCGCATCATAAGCAACGTTGATGTTCGAGTCCGAACAGTGTGTACTCCCAGCACCGAATATCTGACAGAAGGGGTGATAATCAGCGAGCATCCCCTGATACATAACCACATTGCACGTTATGCAGGCCAGAGTTGCCGAATTTCTATTCGGATTGCATCCGTGCATTTGCTCAAGTCCTCTGAAAGACGGGGGTCCAGGAAACCGGGCAATTGTTAGGTAGGTGTGTTGAAATATTTGTTCTGTGAGTCCTTTTCCATATGTATTCTCTGGATTCGGCCGAGATTCCAGTGTATCTGTCTGCCTCGGGTTGAAATTTGTACTGCGAACTAACGACTTTCGATTTTTCGGCTGCGCTGGACACTCTGTAAAACAAGGCGCAACTGCAATTGAAATTGTCTGTTCTGTACTTTTGTGTCCATCTCTGCGGTCTCAGCTGCGGGAAAGCTCGATATCTGATTTTGCTTTGCTCCCCTCGGCTTGTTAAGCTAAACTCTTCTCTGCTCCCATCGCGTTCTGTTTGATGCCACTCATTCCCTTCGCTCGGTCTCCTCGAGTCAAATAACCCGAGGGGATGTGTCAGTACGCGGTGTTGGGAAGTCGCGAGATGGCCGATCACTGAACTTTCGCACGGTTGAAAACACCCGCCGTTATCTTCTCGTTCCGTTTCTCACTGTGAAGGCGTACACCAGTCTAAGTGCATCGCGAGTCGGGCGCAATGATTTAATTTTAGTGAGGATATCGTTCCTCCACTCCTAATCATGCAGATCCCATCCGTCTTTTTTGCCTGTCCCTGCCGTTGAAATGTCTGAACGTTTTCCTTCATTGTTCTCAACTATGCTCTCGGAATGGGTTTTGTTTTCCATAGAACTCTCACGGAACTTTGCAGTCAATACTAGCAGTATTACTAATCACCCGGAGGCCCATGAAGTATAAGTTGCACGCCACAATGTGAATCATATTCCTGAATCTATGTACAAGCGCGTAGATTCTTTTTTTTTTGACCCCATACATAAACATTAACGCCACCCGGTCTGTTCCTTCCACCGGTCAAATGAATGGACAATAAAGTCTGCGGTTTCTTTGAGGTCCGGCTCCCAAGGGTTTCGCCGGTTCAAAGGATCCTTTTTGTCCCAAGGATCGTATTGGAACCGAGTTATCAAGTCGACGGGACGATCCGCGAATGTCTAAAACATTTGTGAGCGAAAGAAAAAAACTGCCCGATGGTGAATACACACCTCGAGCCATTGTGTGATGTTGTACAGCTCAAGTTTAACCTTATAGAAAGTCCATCAGGTTCCATGAGATGTACGGTTCTGGAACAGCCATCACTCACCGTAAATGTACGAGATGTTATTTGAGCTCTGCTAATTTGACGAAGCTCGTTTAAAAGGTCGGATGAAGCTGGACATGATCTCAAAATAGTACTCCAGTCACCAGGTGCGCTGAATTGGTGATAATAGTAGTAAAGCATAATTAGTCAAAGGAAGACTCACCGGCTTTCATTAGGCAGGAGATGAATGTTGCTTTTAATACACCGCAAGCAGTGTTTAGCCATGTTCTCCAGGGTTCGGTCAGGGTAAAGCTCTCGCACGTTGGTTGGGTGTGAGACTGATGTAACGAGCTGTTTCAGTGCCTTTTCATCTTCTTGAATCATTTCGCGTAGAGGGCAGATGGCGAGCCTCAGTTCCTCCCATGAGTAATCTAGCGCCAGACGAATTTCGAACAAAGTGGCAAAAAAGTTGCCGGTAATGAGAAGTCGGTATGCATGGATGATCCTAGTCAGTTGTGGCGAGGTTTCGAACACCCGCAGGATGCCTTGCATCTCCTTTTCGTTGTCCCTGGCTTCCCTAGCGGCCTCGGCACAGATGTTATCAAACACAGCCATAAGATGATAGTCTTCCCATTGTTGAATCAAATCCTCCGGCGACTGCTGGGCCTGCCACATTCATATGTATGAAGCTAGTCACCTCAACCAAAGCGAATAACGTGCCTTCAACCAGTCAAGGATGGTGTCTGCTGTTCTTCGGGGTGCGTCTGAGCCATTTCCTCTGAGGTAAAAGATGAAATCGAGGTTGACACCAGGGAGTTGTCCAATTAGATTTGGCGACAGTTGAGTCGATGTTAGAAATTCAAGATCAAGTGGCCTATGGATATAATCTTTTTAAGTGTGCTTCGGTTGAATGCGGACGATTTACCAAGCTACATGGTCAATAGCAGACACAATTCGACCGTTCGGGGTCTTGTCGGAGAATGCTCTGACCATGTCGCATGCGAGATTCTGGCGCTGAAGATCGCTGAAGTGGAATTTAGTTGAGCGTGAGGAGCTCATGAGGAAATCGAGGAAAGATGCATGATGGACGGCGATGCCAGTGGCGCCGTGGTTCTCGCCCTCATCGTCACTGTCGTGCTCGTCGTGCTTGCTGTTGTGCTCGTCGTGCGACTCTGAAGGTACAGCTATCACGGAATGCAATCTACGCAATGTCAAATCGATATCTCCAGGGTCCAGCTGAAGAAGCTGTCCGATCTTCGCCGGCGAAAGATTAAGCTGGGCGGCAATAACGGACAGAATACGCAGAAGCCGAGGCCGAGCTCGAAGAGGAACAGTATTCAGAATTTGCGTGTACAACTGGTCCAGTGGAGCAAGGGGTGATTCAACACCGGGTTCCTCCCTGCCCATGACAATCGCGAGACTTTCCTTTGGATTGAAATCTTTGTTGTCGACGAATTTGACGACCGTGGCAGCGTAGATAAAATATCCGGATGATTTGTCAACAAGGTAGTCAACAACTTCTTCCGCCGGCCAAGGACTAAGAACTGAGACCATGGATTTGTGGGCCCCGCGAATCCATTCAAACTCGTCAAGGAGATATTTTCGAACGTCATCGAATGACTGCTCAACATTCACGTCGTAGCGTCCTTTTAAAGCAGGCTCGTCTCGAAAGATCTTCTCGATATGTGGTTCTGGTCTGCTCGCGATGAGAAAGCGAAGGGGAGCTTGTGATTGAACAGCGTGTCCAATGGAACGCAGTAGCTCCTGCTGAAGTTCTTCCCCTTCACATTCGTCAAGGCCGTCGATGATAATCATCAAGACGCGACTCGGAGTAACAGTGATTTCCCGAGTCGGTTCGATTACAAGCTTCTCAAGCTGTGCCGAGGGAGATTCGTCGACAATGGCTGGATCACTTCCGACGCGTGTGCCAATAACATGCTTGAGCTCCGGCGAGACACGGGTAAGCTGATAGGCAATGGTGGGAAACAGCTTCATGCCGCGGCCACGAGACGGATCCCCTCTTTTGAAAAAGAAACTGCCACCGAGGCGTCCGTCTGATTCGAGCACTTCACAAAGGGACTGTGCGATGGCAGACTTCCCCGCACCAGCAGGTGCGTGCAGCCAACAAACACCTGTGCTTGTATCGTCGGTGGAACACCAATCACGAAGATTTGCGAGCATCTCCGTCCTTGTTTCTGCGTGGCAGCGCGGCGGGGAGAATCTTTCTCCCGAGTCATGGGCAGCGTCGTTAGCTGCCGCTTGATACAGAATAGAGAGGGCTAAACCGCTCGTGAGCAAAACGGCCAGAACGACCAGAACGGAGTATGACTAGCCCGAATCAACCTGACGCCGTATTTGATCAACTCGCGAGAATTTACGTTACCCAGGGCAGCGACGTACTTTCAAACGATTAACCTCTCCTTCGAGGGCTAATATAGTATCGCGCTGAGAAGTCTTTAGCGATGTTGGTATATATATCCGCGCAAGCTTACGTGGAATTTGTTGAGATGTCCGTCAATTCTCTTGACGGTAGCCTCAATAGTCTTGGTGTCATCGTCACTTTCTAAAATCTTCCTAGGAGTGCCACGTTTCAGCAGGACATCAAGGCGGTTCATTTCTTGCTGTAGAAGCCTGAAGATTTCGTTCTTAGGCTCCGCCGGCCCGAAATAATTAGGACGCACTCTGAAAGCTTCTGTACTCGGTCTTTGGCCTCGGCGGACGTCGCCCTTTCCAGGGCATCGTTCACATCGCTGACATTCTGTGTGATGTCTAGAAATAGGTCCTTCAACGCCTGATTGTTGTCCGAAACGACCTAGAGATATATCGAGTTAGTCGTTAGAAATAAGCAATAGATATATTTGCTGCGCACAGTCGCCAGATCGATAAAGCTGTTGACGACGCTGATGGGGATTTTGAAGGGAGTCCCC